ATCACCATTTAAAGACAAGGGAATCAAAAGTACTTATTTTCATAACATAAATTTTCAATAAAACCTGTAAGCTATTACACAAAACTTGCAGCTCTATACTTCTCAACAGTTTCATTTCAGGGAGAAAATCTACCTGAATTAAGGGTTACCTATTAAATGTATTGTTCCCACCCCTGCCCCCCCCCCAAACAAAGGAGCACATTAATAGCACTCACTCCTAACAAAGTAACAAAGAACAAACTAAAATGGCCATACTGGCTGTGTGCTAGTGACATCTGACAGAATTTAGCAAAATAATTTAAGATTGCATTCAACACTTAGATCCCGTTTATCAGCAACTCAGAAATGACTGCCTTAGTATGTGTTTTAACCTTGAACTCTTTCCAATGATCTAAGCTCTTAAAATTTAGTTATTAATTATTAAGTATATTTCAAGTGGCTTTTATTACATTTCATAGTTTTAAAAGCTCATGACTAGAGAGGGAACTCATGCACAGTAAAAATAATGCCATTGTCAACAAGTCTTGTTGGAACTTTATAATGCCATTCTCAATAAAATTAATGACTTAACCATAAAATCAAATCCAAATGTGAATTAATTATGGTTATAGAAAAGCATCAAGAGACCAGGAAAAAAAAAAGATAGTCTTCCTCTGCCATAAATCAAAGCATTAAAGTGCACTGAACCCTATGTGCATCCTTAATATTTTACTAAGGAAAATACAAGCCTTTTGTTACATCAATGCGTTGCCACTATATCCTTATGCCCCAGTAAGCTTAAACTGAAAGCTAGAAAGCATAACGTAGGGAATTTTAGAGCTGAAAGGAGACCGAGCTCTAATATAGGCAGTCCAACTCATGAGAGTTCGATTTACAATTTTTCACAGTGGCAGCAAGCCTCAGCTCCTAGTCAGCCCTGCAATCATGAGGGTAAACAACTGATACGCTTACAACCATTCTTTATCCACACAATCATTGTTTTTCACTTTCAGTACAATATTCAATAAATTACATGAGATACTCAAAACTTTTATAGTAAAATGAGCTTTGATAGATTTTGCCCAACTGTAGGCTAATATAAGTATTGTGAGCATATGTAACATAGATGTATTGAATGCCTTTTCAAATTACATTTCAATTTATGATGGGTTTATCAGGACATAACCCCATCATAAGTAGAGGAAGATCTGTATAGTAATTTTCAAATTGGTATTCTATGTAATTATATTCTATATGTTAACAGGTTGGCCATGAGAAAATAGGCTTTCTGGCCAGGTAAGACCATTTTAACCTTATGTGTTCCTAAATTATTTGTCAAGGAACAGTTTTGGGGGCAGTAAGGCTGTTATTGGACTGAGCACAGTGTTCAGGGGAAACATCAGTTTGGAAAATTCTGATCTTATGAAATTCCCTTAAACGGATGACAAAACTGAGGCCTAGAGAGATCACATCTGGTTAGCAGGAGAAAAAAGAATGCGAACAAAATCTTTCATTCCCAGGCCAGAGCTCTTTTCATTTTAACTACAAAATAAGCTCTTTAAACTGTATATAGTCAAACATTTAATTTACATTTAACATTTTGGTTATGGTGTCACATTTTCTGGTTTGTGTACTAACTCAGATGTTTTTAATTCCTTCAAGACCTGGGTTTCTATTAATTAGACCCACCTGGAGATTTACTATTGTTTAGTACTAATGAGGAATGATTTCGTTCAGAGTGGCAGCTTAAAGTAATCACTGGAATAAAGCATTTGTATTACAACTGGTTTTTAATTTACCCTTGTTACAACTTGTCAGCTCAACTAAACCACTGTGTTGTTTATTAAGTGAATTTCTTAGCATATAATGTCAACATATGCTGTCCATGAGAACAGACGAGATCTGCCTGCGTAGAAGAAAGCCCACAAGATCAAAATTGAGGGATTTTTGTCTTTCTACAGTTCTGGGCTTATTTGCCAGGCAAACACTTAGTTTCCTATCTTTTCGGTAATTATCAAAAAAATGTTTTGACTGCTTTAACTACAGTGTCCAAATCAGATTATCACAGTATAGTTCTCAAACTCCCCAGAATTGTAAGACAGTGTAAGAAACACAATTCGTTCAGCTTTAAAGTAGTTATGTACCACTCCCCCTCCCCCCTCAGGGTAGGAGAGAAGAATGGAAGAGACCGAACAAGTAACTATAGTTATGCTGCAACTTTAAAAGGCTTGAGAATCAAAGGTGATAATGGTTAACAACTTCCTTATGACTACCCTGACTTCCTCTAATAAACTTCTGCACTCCTTTCGAACCTCCCGCCCCCGCCATGGAACATTAACTATGGCAGGCATTCATGTCTCCTCAATCTTAAAAGAACCCAACAGATGAATGAGACGGCATGAAGCCTGGATTCCACCAACAAAGAGGTTACTCTGCGCGCCTTGATCGCACAGGTGCGACCTCCACCCCAACCTTGCGCATCGCTGGGCCCCAGCGCAGGAGGCTCGGGAGCGGCCACCCCTGCCTGGGGCCGCCCTGGAGCCTCCGCCCGGCCCGCCGAACCCCCGCGCAGCTCCCGCCTCTCCGGAAACCGGAGGGCGGCCGGCCGGTTTCCAGGCTCCAGGCGAGGCCAGGGCGGCAACACCCCGGACGCCACAGCAGCTTGCCCCGCGGGCCGTCCCCGCGGCTCCGGAACCAGCCAGGCCGAGGAGGCCGCTCAGGGCCGGCAGCCAGCCTCGCGTCCGCGCTGGGGGCGGGGACGCTGTTACCTGCCGTGGGCTCGGCCGCTCCCCGCCGGCGCCGCTCTCCTGGCAACCGCGGCAGCGACGCAGAGGCCGGGAGCCGAAGGGCCTAGTGACAGCTCCCAGTGTGCACTGCGCCCGCCCCCACGCCGGCGTCAACGTCGACGGCCCTCGATCCCCGCCCCCGGTCCGTGCCTCGCCTCCCGGCGCTAGTTGTCGCCACAGCGCCCTCAAGCGGACGGTTGGGGAAGCAGCCCATAGCCACCAACTTCGCGGATGGTGTTTTCAACTCGCCAGCGCCAGCAACATCTTAATGGAGAGTTGGAAGGAATGCTAGGAATTGAGGACAGCTTTTATATATTATTTAAACAATCATTTAAGTGTTATTTAAACGATTCCTCGATATTTCATATGAGGAACTTGAGGCCCAGAAAAGTTGGGAGACTGGTGAAGTTAGGAGATAAATAGTTGTTATAAGATTTGGACACATTTTGAGTTTGTTCTCTCTCTAAATCATGTAGTTACTACAAGGAAGATTGCACTGTTTTGCCTAAACCGTAGGGTCAAAGAAAAAAAAAAGATTGTTTTTTACAAATGAGTGACTGTATATTAAATATAACAATCTTTTTTTTTTTTTAAAGATTTTATTCACTTATTTGAGAGAGAGAGCAAGCGCAAGAGGGGGTAGAGTGAGAGGGAGAAGTGGACTCCTCCCTGAGCAGGGAGCCTGAGGTGGGACTCAATGAGGGGACTGCAGGATCATGACCCCAGCCGAAGGCAGTTGCTTAACCAACTGAGCCACCCAGGCACCCTGAAATATAGCAATCTTTAAAAATAATCAAACACCCAAAAAAAAAAAATAATCAAACACCAAGTATGAAGAGCATGTTGTGCTGAGACTGTTAAATATTTCAATATAATGTGGCAGTATTTAAGACTTAATAGCTTTGAGAACTAAAGGTGGAAGATATTAGGATTTGAAATCATCACCCATGATCACCATTATTTGAGGTGGAATAGTGGAAAACTTAATTCTTTTAACTGCGTTGTTACCTCCATCCATGATTTTGAATTATTGTTGCGGATACAGGAATTTGTGAAGCACCACAATAAACTTTAAGAACTGCAAATACTGACTTTAAGAAGATTCGTCTTAAAATAGTATCTCTAGGGATGTGGATTTGTTATTTGGAAAATCTTCGCATTAAGAGGCTATCAATAAACATGATTTTCTGAATACAAGCCATCGTTGTTTCTGTTTTTAAAACCTAACAGCCTCTTGTTTTTGTTTTGTTTTGTTTTTAAGATATTATTTTTAAGTAATCTCTACACTCAACCTTGTCTCGAACTTAACAACCTGGAAATCAAGCCTCCAATGCTCCACCGACCAAGCCAGCCAAGCACCCTCAGCCTTTTGTTTTTAAAGAATTCTTTATTGTAAGTTTACCACCCTAGCCTTATATTTTAGTATTTCCCCATTTTAAGTATCCCCCTTTTTAAGTACTTACGTTATAGTAGAGCCTTTTCTTTACTAGGTCGAGCTTTCCGAAATTATCTTCTAGAAGTATTAAGATTGACTTGTGTGAATCAGTTCTTACTTCTACAAAACATGGCGAGTGGAAATGTACCTGTGGAATCATTGTCATCCTCCTTTTTTCAAAGATGATAGGAATGGCTAATCCTGTGATTCATGGTACTGGATTTAACCACACTCTCTTCTGTATAGATAACAGAAAACTTAACACTTTCTGCAACTGTTTTTAACTTAGAGTAATTGTGTCTAAATCCAGAAGCCATGCCAGGTCAATCCTGGACATTTGTTGTCTCAGAGGAGAGCTACCAAAGGACTGACATGGTTCGTAAAAAAGATACTGTAGTTTATTAAAATCGAAACAAGATTGTGTTTTGGGTGGAGAAATCTGCTCTCGAATCTCCTGGGGTCAGTGCCCGTCTCTATCTCCTCCTTCCGTCATCCCCCTCTCTTCAAGCCTCATTCTTACCCACTCTAGGCAAAGGAGTGTACTCGGGCTCGGATTTTTAAGGTCACATCCTGGGAGACTAACGCACCGGGCCACCCCACAAGAAGAAGAGTGGGAGGACAGTTTGGCTCTTCCTGCCCACCTTTGTCCCGGCTCAGACACCAGCCCCGATTTAAAAACGCTCACGCCCCCAGGTCGAGATTTCGCGGCAGCGCGTTCTCCGCTCGGCAGGTGGCGCTGTGGGCTGGCGGGCTGTGTCTATCTCGCGATGTGGTCCCGGAGGCCCGCCCCGCCGCCGCCGCCGCCGCCGCACGTGCAGCCGCTTCGGGCCGTGGTGGCCTGTATTCGCCTGAACCTGCTGCTGGGCGCCGGCAATGGCGGCAGCGGCGGCGGGGACGCGCGTGTTCCTGGAGGTGCGGAGACGGTTGCAGAGCGCGCTGCTGATCCTGGGGTAAGGCCGGCGCTGGGCGTGTGGGCAGCTAGGCGCAGTGCGTAGTCTGTTGTTTCTGCCGGTTGGGGAGCCTCCGCCTCCCTCAAAAGGACCGAGTTCTGAGTTTCTTTCCAGTTGCTTAGAGCCTGTCATTTACTCAAAGTGGAGTTTCCCCTCCTACCCCGTGCTTTTATCCCCCCCCCCGGTAATCTCGGCGTCACCTGGGAGCTTTTTAGAAATGGAGAGTCTCAGCCCCACACAAGACCTGTGTAATCAGAACTTATATTTTAATACGCTTTCCAGGATTCAAAGTACACACTTTGAGGAGCACTGATGTAACATAAGTGCCAGGCTTTTCCAAAAACAGTGCAAAAAAAAAAAAAAATGCCTTGCCTTCTTTTTGGGATCCTCATTAGAGGGTAATGTCCAATGTGAGAGCTTCCTCTTTTGTACATAAACTCGGGTTGTTGTTGTTTTCTCCCCAAGCTGTTGTCTGCAGAAAAACTGACACATTCACTGAACGACTAACAAAGGTTGCAGACTTCTTATTGGAGCTCATTCTTGTATTCACATTGCGCGTTCCAATGAGAAGTCAGCAAACGTTTAACTTGTTATTCACTACACATTCAAGAAACTTTTAGGAGAAATGGTCCCTTGTTTGGTAGTATGTGACCCCCTCGATTATTCCCTTGTGACTGCCGTTTCAAATAGAGTAAATTAGATGTTAAAATCCTGAAATTTTTACTACACTGAGCCACTCAAGAGGTAGGTTGACGCTTTCTTTTCCTTTATCGGCCTTTTCCTTAAATCGGCCAAGTATAGGTGTGGCAGTCTGGAAATTTGGCATGAGAACTGAATTCAAATCCTAGCCTCTTCGCAGGAGTAGAATCATTTAATCTGAATTTTTTCAATTGTAAAATATGGGTGATACTTATTAGTCTTTTTTCTTTCTCTTTTTCTTCTCTGTTTCTCCCTCTCCGTCTCAAATCATAAGTTCAGATAAGTATCTCCAATTCCAGTCCACCTTGTGGGGTTATTAGCAGCCCAATCTTATGCAAAACAAAAACAAGACAAAGTTCCTACTTCCTCTCATCAAAGGGGCCCTTCAAAGTTCCCTAGGTTACTCTCCCTTGTTTAAGCAAGTGAAGAAACCTGACTTTGCTAGACTACTAGTTTGTCCCTAATGGTCTTTGGCTGTTGAGTTTTATCACCAACTTGCCCCTCATGAAAGCAAAAGCAACCATTCTTCTGATTTCATTCAACAAAGATTGGTTTTTACATTTCATGAACTGTATATAAATGGATTCATACAGTATGTACTTTTTTGATTCTGGCTGCTTTCCTTCAACAGTGCTTCTGAGATTTCGTGTTTCATCTGTGTCATTGCACATGTCAGTCTATTTTTTTTCTGGCTGAGTAGTTTTCTACTGTATGAATATACAATTTGTTTACCCATTCTATTGCTGGGTATTTTGTGTGTTTCTAGAACTTGATTATTATGAATAAAGTTGCTATAGCATTTTAGTGGTCATACATTTTCATTTCTCTTAGGTAATTACCTAATTCTGTAATAGTACACAATTCTATACCTTTTCATTTGGTTTTTGTTAATTCATACGTGTTCCTTTGGAAAGTGTCTTCTGATTTTTTGCCATTATAAAAAATCAGGTTGTTTGTCTTATTGTTGAATTTAAAGAGTTCTTTCTAGAGTCTGGAAATAAGACTGTTCTTATTTATGCCTTGTAAATATATGAATACTTGTTCCCAATCAGAAATTTACCCTTTCATTTTCTTAATAGTGTCTTTTCAGGAACAGAAGATTTTTAATTACAATGAACTTCAGTTTACATTTTTTCTTTAATGGTTAGTGTTGTTCGTGTCTTAAGAAATCTTTACTTACCTCAGGGTTGTAAAGTTTTTTCCTGTGTTTATTTTCTAGGAGTTAGTTTTAGCTTTTATATTTAGGTGAAATTCATTTTTTGTGTTTGGAACGAGATAGTCAAATTTCATTTTTTTTTTTTTTTCCTATAAGGATATCTGGTAGTTCCATCACTGTTAGTTTAAAAGAGTGTCATTTCTCCCATTGAAATAACACAATGTCTTTGTCAGAAAACCTTTGACTGTACTGTTTGGCATCACATATCTCTTTCTATCCTTTTACTGTTAACGTATGCCTTTATATATAAATTTTTTAAAAAGCATATGCTGGGTGGAGTTTTTCTGAGTCCATTCTGATAATCTCTGCATTTTAAACTTTTTAGTCTGTTTACAGTTACTGTAAATGATAATGATTTTTATTCTTGTTCCTAATCTTAAAAGAAATGTTTCTGATGAGGGAGCAGAAGGCTAGCTGATACCCTGCAATCTCCCCCTACCTCCCACTCTTGGGTAGGACGTGTGTGACATTCTTCCAGGAATCTCCCACTAAATGTTAATACCTTGCTAGAGGGGAAAGCAACCTTGGCTTGACAATGGCAAGACTTCTGATATCTTTTATCTTGTAGGTTGGAGCTCTTTAGCATATGAAAGTTCTTTTGAAACCTCCTTTTTCCTTACTTCCCCCAACTCCAGAGTATATAATCAGCCACTTCTCAAGACCTCCGTGTAGCAGCTTTTTCTGCCCACAGGTCCTGTCCCCATGCTTTAATAAACCACCATTTTGCACCAAAGACGTCTCAAGAATTCTTGGTCGTCAGCTCTGGACCTCACCCCACCAAACCTCACCTATATTCCAAAACCCCATCATTTCTAGCATTTTATCACTAGGTATGATGAAATTGACTTTTGGCGCATCTGTGTGGTAAATTGCATGTTTCCTTTCTATTCCTAGCATACTGTGGGTTTTAATCATTAATAGATACTATATTTTCTGTAATGATTTGTGCATGTATTGTGATGGTCATTTTTTTCCTTTCATATTTACATCTGTGAATTGCAATAGAAAAATCTGTTTATGTTAAGCCATTTTAGTATTCCTGGGGTAAACCTTGGCCATTCATTTATTCAGTCCACAGATGTTTACTGAGTTCCTATTCTCATCCCGAAAACTCAGATTCTAAGTGCTGGAATCCAGCTGTGAACAGTGACAAGGGCAAAGACAAATATACTTGGCTGTCGTTGAGCTTATAGTCTAATGGTGGCAGTGGGTGAGAGGTGAGCAGAAATTATACAAAATAAATAAAATATATGATATTGAATGGAGATAAGTACATAGAAAAAAATAAAACAAAAAGGGATAGGGAGAAAAAAGTATAACCCCTTACTCCAAATCAGAAAGCAACACTTGAGTAATAAACCAAAAGGGGAGAGGTTTAGAACTATATAATATGTGGTGAAAGACTGTTTCCCTCTGAGAGAATAGCAAGTTTGAAGGGGTGCCAAGTTCAGAGAGATGTGGGTGGGCTGGTGGAGCGCATAGTAAAGGGTCTTACAGAGGTATGTTAGTAAATGTTTAACAACCTGCATTCTGAGAAAGCCAATGAAACTAACAAAAAATCTTCCCGATTTGCAGAATTTACTGATTCCTGTGGTGTAGATATTTTCAGTATGGATGATGTCAAGCTACCAAAGTGAGGTCAACCAGTTTGCAATTTTGGAATTTTAACATCTGTCTCTAGTATATTACTGGGTCTTATGGGCCATTGAAAGAATTTTAGCTTGTACTCAGAGTGAGATGGGAAGTCATTGGATAGTTTCAAGCAGGGTGTGGTACCTGAAAGAATATAAGTTCACAGTGAAGAAAGCCTCAAGTATGGAAAAGGTGTGGACAGTTAGGATCGCAAATACTTTGTTTTTGGACAGTCTTTCAACCTTGAGAGTAAGTTACTGTCGCTCCTGAATACATTACTGTGAATTTCCTACAAATAAGAACATTCCCCCATATAACCACCATACACCCTTCAAAGCTGGGGAATAGGTTACTACCATCTTAACACTCAGACCTCACTCAAATTTTCCCACATGTCTACATAATACCTATAATAGCAAAAGAACCCAGTTCAGAATCATGCCTTGCAATTTCATTGTCGTGTTTCCTTAGTCTCTTAAAATTCGAAGAATTCTAAATTTCCCTTGACCTTCACAATCTTGACACTTTTGAAGATTACAGCCTTCCATTTGGGTTTGTTTCATGTTGCCTCAAGATTAGGTTCAGGTTATACATCTTTGGCGGGAATATCACAGAAGTGATGCTCTGTTCTCATTACATCCTATCAGGTGTCACATGAATTTGACTTTTTGACTTATTCCATTAAAGTTCATATTAACTTTGAACATGTTGATAAGATGATGTCTGCCTTTGCCACCATAAAGGTATCTTTTTTTTTTTTTTTTTTTTTGAGGCTTTGACATTTTTATTTAGGAAAAGATTGAGTGCGAAGCTATAATGGTTCAACCTAAACCATCCCTTTTTAAATAGTGGAGTCAATTTATGCAAAATATTTTTCCTTGTCTATAAAAAACAAATTGAACAGTGTTTTAATGATAAGGAAATACAAACATAGACTTTAGTCAATGTGCACTATCGTAAAAGAAATAGGATGGTCTTTCCCTTCCCCTCCCTCAGCCAAAGAAGAGAATACTGCAAACTTTAAGAACCCCACCGACTATCATCAGAGTACCTACAGAACAGGGGTAGCACAGGATGAAACTATTTCTCTATATTGCAGAAGGTAGAAGCGTGGATGCTCTGGCTTTACAAGTAAAATTAGCACAGGCAGGCAGAAGCTCCCAGTAAATACACACCGGAACGGGGACCTCGGTGAAGTCGTCTGACCGGGTTACTTCTTTGACAGGAAAGAAGAAAGACAAATCTGAAGTGTAGTAAACGCGCGCGCGCGCGCACACACACACACACACACACACACACACAAACCTTTTGTCACATTTACAGGAATTCAAACCTTTTGTATTCCCATGCTCATGGGTAGTTTTGATATACACTGTAAAGAGCTGCAGTATTCAGGAAGAATACTGTAAGGTTGACAGAGGACAGGAGAATTCTTCATACTTCTGATATCTCA